CCATGCCAACAGGAATTGAAGCAGGTGATCGAGACAGTTTTATACAGTGGATTTTGATGTTGAGAGGAATGATTTTAATGCTTATGTATGTGTATGATTTATTTATGTCCCATTGAATGTTTGCAATTTTTATGTTTTGCTCTGCCCTGAGTCCCCTTCGGAGTGAGAAGGGCAGAATACAAATGCTTAAAATAAATAAATGATAAATAGACCCAAGCCACATAGAGCTTTATGGGCCATAACTGCCATTTTGAACAGGTCTAGAAACAAACTTGTATCCCGTGATGCTATTGCAACAAGAGAGTCATGTGTTGCCATAGTCAGACCAGATACTTCCAAGCACAGCTAGCGTTAACTATACAAATACATCTCTGGCCACTACAGAAACTTTGGCATCCTGCTATGTGTGAATCCAGAAATACATCCAAATTGTCAACCAGCCTCATCACAGGGAGTTCATTCAGCACATGGTTAGTGCCCATTAACATATCTGCCTTTACACTAACTCAGAACACCTTAATTTTCTGTTCTATAACAGTTAATAGATGTTTGTAACTGAAATAGATTCATTGGAATCAAGTGAAAAGGAAAAATATTGCTAGATGTTATTAGCATATTGAGGATATTATATCCCCAAACTCTGGAATTATCATCCAGCAGCTTCATATTTATGTTATGTAATATGGAGGACAAAGGAAACCCCAAAAGAAATAGCCAAGGACTCAAATAGGAGTGTCCCCAGCACTCAGATTTGGGATTTAACAACATAGTATGGCATTGATTTTAGTAATCTGGATTGGTGCCAGCTCTTTGTTGCCTAAATCAGAACCCACATGGAACCCTCACAAACGCCCAGAACAGCACTTTAAAAAGTCTAATTGGACTAATTGTGCATTAGTTCTTACACACACACACACGTTACTTCCCTAGCCCAGTTCCCATTGTACCTTTCTACAGCATTTCCACTGCTAAAAACAGCCAGCAACCATTTTAAAACCAATAACATCTAGCAGAAATTAAATGGCCAAGAACATCCAAAAATCCACAGCAGTAAAAACATCAAGAGCAAATTGAATAGAATGGTTTATCTACAGAGACAAAAAAAAGAGGCAAACCAACCATCCAGATTTTCCAGCCTCCAGGGAACCCGCAACTCTGACTCATTTTAACTTCAGATGCATTTTCTATCTCAAATGCATATTAACATCTCCTCCTACTAAGAGACTTTGAAAAAATGGATTAAATGCTAGCTTGCTCTTTATAGTTCCACGGGTAGATTGAGATAATGAAACAGCTGCCTTTTATGAACAGCCACAGAGAACCAAGAGGACTAATCAAATCGTTTGGGGATTGAAATCTTTATTAACCTCGTCGCTGTGTCAAAATTTTTCACAGATATACAGGATGGTGCTTTCAAGATAAACCAAGAAACCAGTCAATTAATTAAAAAGAAGATACTAGAGGCCTCCGGCTGGCACTTGCTGCATGATTAATAGAAACCAAGTACTAAGTTTAGACCTCATTTTCCACGTGAGCAAGCCCTGGAACAACCCTTCTTAGAATGGCAATATTCCTCTGGAGAGGAGCACAAGCTGTCTCAGTATGATTACTCAGAGGTAACTCTCATTGTGTTTAGTGGGTCTTACTCTTAAAAATCCTTACAGTGTTCTATTCCCAATGCAGGTAGCAGGAACCCAAAGGCACGCTTCTTGCCTTCTGCTTATAGTTCTGACAGTCATATAAAATGATAATTGCAGAGCTAAAGTAGGTGTTGAGTCAAACTCTAACTAGCAGATGAGTAATGTTTCTTCTTTTTTAGAGTAAGCATATTTTTTCTTACCTTAAATGCGGCATGGACAAAACCTATGGTGTAGGGGCCAATTTCCTACAATCTGCAACACTCCTCCAACATGGGAAAAGAAAAGAAAATTAAAATGGCCTGAAACTCACTTCAATTATTTTTCACTTTTTAAGGGGAGGGAGGTTGGGACATAATTTTTAAAAGGGCAAAGCACCACTCCTGGAAATTTTCAATATGAGTAGTTTTCTCTTTCTTGCATTTTCAAAATGTTTGTTCCATTTTTCCCACTGAGGGAATTCTGCCTGGTTACTGTAATGAGCTATTTAAAAATACTTTTTTAATGTGTTGTTGAAGGCTTTGAAGCTGCAAGGCCATTTGATGCTAACCAAGGTGGCCAACTGCAACATTCACACTTGCCTAGCATTATTTTTAAACTTCAATTACATTTGGCTCAGCCATAGATTTTAAATGTGCACTGTACCTTGTTCAATGTTTATGTTATTTGTGTATGAGATTTATTTTAATTGCTTTTTATTGTATTTGTTACTGCTTGTATTGCTTGTATTGTTGTATTGTGGGCTTGGCCTCATGTAAGCCGCACCAAGTCCCTTGGTAGCGGGGTATAAATAAAGTATTATTATTATTATTATTATTATTATTATTACTATATTACTATTATTATTACTTGCCTCAAGCAGACAAGAGTTCTTTCCCCCACCCCCCACCCCCCACCCCGGATATTTAATAGATATATACCCCTCACTTGCCTAGTTTCCAACAGACCGTAAAACCTCTGAGGATGCCTGCCATAGATGTGAGCAAAATGTCAGGAGGGCATACTTCTGGAACATGGCCATACAACCCAAAAAACTCACAGCAACCCAATACTTTTTTTAGATTGCGCCTCTCAGAATGCTTCATCCAGAATTACCAGTGGACATGGATTCTAGCACAATGGATTTCCTTTACAACAGACATCTATACTAGAGAAGATATGTCTCTTCATTTGATGAGCACACAACCAAGATATGAAACAACTAAAAGTAATGTGTATAATATGCATGACCCTGCAGCATATGTGATTCTAAGACTGGGCCTCATTACCATCTTTGAACAAATGCCTTTCATTAATGGACATGCCTTGAACATGAGTTTTCCTTACACAGAACAGTGCTAGCAACTTCTATTTTTATTTAATCACTGATATCCTACCTTTTTTCCCAGGATCAATATTCAAAATAGATGCAGATGAAAAGCAACAATCTAAAGCAGTGGTTTCCAGCCTTTTTTTTTTTATCAGGGACCATTTTGACCAGTGTTTTTCCAACACTCATAACAAAAAGGGCTATGAATCAGTTTTGTCAACTTTAGATTTGGTTAGGTTATTTAGGGAATTGATTCAGAAAACTGCATTGGATAGACCACATGAGCTCTGGTTTCTGATACAGAACATAGGCCATCCAGTGGTTGCCATCTGCTTGCACACAGAAAACTATATTTAATAAGCCTCGGCACTGTAATAGGGTTCTACGGGACCAGTTGCTCTCAATGCAATGCTGTAGTAATGGTGAGGCCATGGACCACAGTTTAATTCTTGTGAACCACTTGTTGGGAACTAAAGAATTTAAAAGAAATTAAAAATATCGCTAAAATAAATAATAAACATATTAGATGTCATAGTTAAAAGATGACACCTCTCAGAATACCTCTGCTAGCATGGCTAGTGTTCACATTGACTTGGATATTCTAGGAGCAGAAACTTGACAAGTTCTGGCAGGGATTAGTTTGGACGGTCCTTGTGGTACATCTACATTGTAGAATAAATGCAGTTTGACACTACTTCAACTGCCATGGAATCCTGGGATTTGTGGAATCCTGGGATTTGTTGCTTGGGGAAGCACCAGAACTCTGTGGCAGAGAAGGCTAAAAGACCTACAACTCCAATAATTCAATAGCATTGAGCCATGGTGGTTAAAAGTGGTGTCATACTAATTCTGTAGAGATTTCTTCTAGGCATTCAAAATGTGAAAGCCGAAACATCATAAATGTAAATGTTTTCCTTAAAATTGGGGGGGGGGGGGCATGGCATTCCTTCCAATTGCATCAATTGAACAGACACAATTCAAATTTATTTTCTGTTCTCCTGCTGCTTTAAAAATATCCCAGTTGCTTTGCCTTTCCCCAACTTTCTTTAAATTGCTGCAAATTCCGTCTAAGGTGCAAAAGCAGTGTACATTTAACTTAGGGTGGAATCTTGCCTTACCAAGCAGACTCATGGATCAGCATACTTGTGTATACATCTTCATCTTGACCATACTATGATCTTGTTTGTCCACACATATTCCACTTTTCATCTATGAAATACTAGAAGGTATGAGATTAATGGTGGCTTTCCAGATGTAGCTGGAATACAATTCCCATCAATCATAGCCAACATATCCAAAAATGCAGTGTTGTATTTTAATAACTCCTGGAAGCACTACACATTTTCCACCTCTGACCTAACTGGTGCTACCATGCATAAGTATTTACAGGATCTGTAACCAACAGTGCCCCTCCCACAAAAGAAAGTATCAATTATTAGGTCACTAAATTTAGATAATGAACCAAAATCACTCAAATTGACTGAGTGAAACTGCTACAAATAAAGAGAAAATTATCTTGATAAAGATTTGAGCACTCACTTTTTTCTTCTTGCTTAGCTTCTAGAGAGTGAGTTTTGGTAAGTTCTTTTGCTGTCAAACCTGCTATTGTACCACTACAAAGTTTCAAACTTTTGTATCTAGGTGGTAGTGGAAGGATCTTCTCTGTGCTAACTATTAATGCACCAGGTAATGAAAAAGGGGAGAGAATGTCAGTAGGTTTGTAAAAGGTTCCATGGATAGGTCTCTGATCAGTGTTTAAGGTTGACTTTGACCTTTATGTTTCAACCTTTCCTGTTCCTCCCTCCTGTTGTGTGGAATTGCTAAGGTATGAGTCCTGTTAAGATTTATTATGGGAGCTCCAGGTAGTGCAGTGGGTTAAACAGCTGAGCTGCTGAACTTGCTGACCGAAAAGTTGGCGGTTCAAAACTGGGGAGGCGGGTGAGTTCCCACTGTTAGTCCCAGCTTCTGCTAACCTAGCAGAAGATCAGTAGGTACCTCTTTGGCAGGAGAGGTACCTTCTCTTTGGCAGGAAAGGTGCAGTCATGCCAGCCACATGACCTTGGAGGCATCTTGAGACAATGCAGGCTCTTCAGCATAGAAATGGAGATGAGCACCACCCCCCAGAGTCAGACACAACTAGACTTAATGTCAAGAGGAAACCTTTATCTTTACTTAAGATTTATTATTGTGGAAAACTGAGGCCTGGGTCAAATGTTTGGTTCACTTTGGGCTGTCATAGCTCTTTTATAATCCTACTAACTCAACTCCCCTTTACATTTCTATCCAAGAACTTGCTTTACATCAAGAGAGAAATGCTGGACTCTGATTATATAGAATCAGATGAAGAGGTAAGAATGTTTTCCCCTCTTGAATCAAGAACTGATGACTCTGAAGATCTAGGATGAGGGATATGAGGGATCTATCAGACCAATGAAAAAATAAACAAAACTAGAAATTTGACTGGTAACGTTTCCAGGTGCAGAGGTGGCAATTGCCCAAAATTTTGTATTTCTACCTCTTAACACACAGAACATTACCTTCCCACATCCCAAAACAAACTACTCAGCTTCACTCTCAAAGTTAGTTCAGGTGGTCACATGAGAAAGGTGCCTCTAAATCTATTGCATTGATTGAAGACTGCAGCTTTAAAAGCTGCACCTAGTAGTAGGGAAGTTAGTTTGTTTTGTACGTATAATTCTTAAAACTACAAGGCCTCTCAGCAACTAAATGGTCAGTGTTATGTGTCAGAAACAATCAATATGCATGACAGTGCAGAGTCTTAACTGTATTGTCTTTGGATAATTTAGATGTTACTTCCAACCTGTCTCTCTACATGAGCTGTTTGACAAAGAAATCCAGGAAATGGCCAAGTGTGAAAGTTATAAAATTTGTCATGACAGATATGTTGGGTGGCTTCATGAAAAAGGCAATAGGGATCCGGTACTTTTAATAGTTGTGTGGAACAGGGAATTTCAACAGGTGCAGCTTTTCATGCATGCAATACCTGCTGGAATGCACTCTCCCAAACAGCTCTTAAAAGAACAAGAGCTCTGATTTCTTTCTCATGGGCCTATCCTATAGAGAAGTCATGAAGAGTGCCTGATTAATGAAGCTGAGCTGATGAGTTTCAACTGGGTTTTTCAGTCACCCCATGAAATAGGAAAAAAATTGATTGCTCCTAAATAAAAAATTCAAAAGAAATTTTTTCACAGTGCAGCCTATATTCGTACTGTATTGTCGAAGGCTTTCATGGCTGGAATCACTCAGTTCTTGTGGGTTTTTTCGGGCTATATGGCCATGTTCTAGAGGCATTTCTCCTGACGTTTCGCCTGCATCTATGGCAAGCATCCTCAGAGGTGAGGTCCTCACCTCTGAGGATGCTTGCCATAGATGCAGGTGAAACGTCAGGAGAAATGCCTCTAGAACATGGCCATATAGCCCGAAAAAACCCACAAGAACTGAGTATATTCGTACTCTCAGATATGTATCCCAACGAAATAGTTTTAGAAGGTGCATGCAAAAAAAGCAATTGTGTTACTGAAAATTAAGCATAATGAGTTGAATTCTTTATTTCTCCACCAGACCACTGTTTAACTCCTTAAGATTATCTCCCATTTCTGTTCAAATAATGTGGGATTAGTTGGAAGAATGTCAATATGTGGCTGGAGTCCAACTCCCATCATATCATACCATCAGCTTTGCTGGCAAGAATATGAATCAGACAAACAACATTGTCAGAGCTGTAGTAAGTTGTCGATTCCAATTTTTTCTTTGTTTGGCTGCTTTTGTATTTGGAAAGCATTGGGTCAAAAAGAAATCGTGGAGCTAGTTAGTTTTGAATTCTCTCACCCTTTAAAGCAGAAATACAGTCTGTGTGGTCTTCTAAGTTTCCGGATTGTTGGATATCAGCCGTCACCAATAATTATGCTGGTGAGATTTTAAGCTATCATTCATGCTCTGGGAGCTGATTGTTTCAATAAACTTATTTGATATAGAGCTTTGGAGATAGAGGTCAAAGGAAGACTCTCTTCCCTAAGTGTGTTTGACTGAGATCAGATCGGCAAGTGTAGAGAAGATATTTTCACAAGTGGCAACAAATCTATGGAATGCCTATTGAGGTCACTGTGCAGTCCTTTAAGTTTTCTCCTTTTTGTTAAGTCTTTTTTATTATAGACTGTTAGTGCTTAATATTCTGTTTTTATAGCACAGAGCTACAAGATGACATGTTCACCTTTTATTTGAAAAGGGGTATTTTTGTGTGTGTCGGAAGCAACTTGAAAAATTGCAAGTCACTTCTGATGTGAGAGAATTGGCCATCTGCAAGGATGTTGCCCAGGGGGTGTTTGATGTTTTACCATCCTTGGAGGAGGCTTCTCTCATGTCTGATGTTTGATGTTTTACCATCCTTGGAGGAGACTTCTCTCATGTCCCCTAATGGGGAGGAGCTGAAGAGGGAGCTCAACCCACTCTCCCCAGATTTGAACTACTGACCTGTCAGTCAGCAAGTCCTGCCGGCACAAGGGTTTAACCCATTGCACCACCAGGGGCTGAATTCATAAATTGCATAAATTAGAGTGTTGTGTGATTGGTGTTTTGCAGGATGTATTCTGATACAAATGTTGTTAAGAGGGCAGATGTTGATGTTGGTCAACTGCATACAGTTTGTTGTCATGTTATGTATATAACTAGTCAAAATCTAACTGCCCAATTAGATTCTGTCTAAGCATTAAAAAGAACTTATTGATAGTAAAAGCTGTTGGACAGTGGAAAACACTGCCTTGGAGTGTGGTTGGAGTCTCCTTCTTTTGAGATTTTTTAATAGAGGTAGGATGGTCATCTTTTGGGAATGTGTTGATTATACCTGCATTATAGGGTGTTGGACTGGATGGTTTATTTATTTATTTATTTATTTATTTATTTATTTATTTACGGCATTTATATGCCGCCCTTCTCACCCCGAAGGGGACTCAGAGCGGCTTACAATATATATTTGTGGTCTCATCCAAATTTATGATTCTAATTACTATTTATTTCTAGGTTTCCACAAACAAAGAAAGACATTCTCGCCTTGGGGAGGATAATCTGGATGATACACTGGAATTTGATTTTTCACGCCGAACTTTGAGAGCAGAAGAGTTCAAAGAACTGTATACAAAGGACAGTAGCTTATTGGTTGATCAAGACACTGGTCATGAGGTTAAAGCCACGGTAGAGGAGCACCAGGATTCAAAACAAATGGCAAAATCTATCCCTCAGATTCTTCTCCTTAGAAGTGAGAACCATAAGGATCCCATTCCCTATGTCTCTTCTCTAGATGCATCTGAGATCCTAGAAATCAAAGGAAGTATTGAAAGTTCCAATGATAGTGAATATTGAAAACTTACACTCTTATCAGTCTTCTATCACTTTGCTTCAAATGCTCGCTTGTGTTTCTCCTTCAGGGCCTAATTCTAATTTTTGTTTCTAGAGAATTACAAAATTATTATTTCAAGTGGCTCAGGACATAATACTGGAGCCACCTCTCCATATTAAAATTTTTGTGGAATATATGTGGGTAACAAAATGCAATGAGGAAAGCGAATGTGTAAATAGTATTTATAAATGTTCTTGTTTTTGAACTTTTTAATCAGAATAACTTCAATAATGGCTGATTAACAGTAGTCCTTATACTAATAAAATAATGCCAAGTTTAACTTTGTTTGTGATTTTTCTATACATTATAACTGTCTTCTCTATTTGCTTCTGACATGATACATAAACAGTAGTCATTTTCTGTTTCTGTTACTGCAGCTTTCATATATTAGCGCATAACTTGCTTAACTCACTATGCTGTTAAATAACTCTTCCTATAATGTAGTTAATTTGGTGCTGTAGTTTGCACTACTGACACTGGAAATCCTGAAAGGTGGCAAAATATTCAATATAGTATTGATGAGCAGACTTGGACATGCTGATAACCGTAGTTTCAACTTTGCCTGCCTTCCTTGTGTGTGGGTTTTTGTTTGTTTGCTTTTTGCTGCCTAAATCAATCCGTTCTTTTTCTGAAAGCAGAACTAGAGTCACCTCCAACCATCCTCTAAAACGATTTATGCTGTTTACATTCCCATGCTTTTATACTGTGTCCTAAATCAACTTTTTAGACTATTACCTAAATATTGACTCATCAAGGCCCCATTGATTCAGTCATTCTGCTCCTTTTGGTACCGACTATTGACTGAGCCCATGATTATGAATCTCTGTTAAAGTTAGTCCTTTAGAACAAGGAGGTTGCTCCGTCCTTGTAGAGGTTTATTTTTTCTCGTGTCAATTCAATGCCAGTAGGCCATGGAGAGGCCTCACCTTACTTTGGACCACAAATGATCTGCCAGTAAATGCAGACTTTCTCTCTAGTTCCTGTACAGACATAAAAAGAATATTCCTTCATAAGTTGACTTGGCTAGTCCTTGACAGAGACTTTTGGGAAGACTTATGCTCCCGGCATGTCTGTTTCTAAAAATTTAGAGGTATCTGATCCAGATGCCACATTGAAGTGCTCACTGCATGAGGAAACAAAGCCTCTGGGTTTCCTCATCCAACATCACTGCACATCTGGGTAGTGCTACTTCCTACAGAAGTCACTATTATGATTATAAAGCTCCTCCTTTCCTCAGAAAGAACTAAGACAAATTGCCTGCATTCCTTTTAAAAATATAGACAGAAGCTACAAGAGATCCCAGACCAGATTATGGGCCCTGATGTACATTGCTGTGGGTAGTAAGACTACTTCAAACATGATCTCTCTGCTAAATAGCCACTACTGCCATGCCTGTTATAAAATGATAACCCTTATCATAGTGAAAGGTGTGGGAGACATCATAATACACTGAATCATATTGAGGGGTTCAGTACTAAGATGCTGAGCAGGAGCCCCTGCATCCAATGCTTTCTAGTTTTATGAATAGAGTTTTATCCATGCTGGTATTCAAAGCAGCACTGTATCATAAGCAGGTTATGCTGAAATATAAAAAATAGACTCATGTTACCTAAACATTTCAGCTGTCTTATGCCCAAAACCAAATAATAGTATATTATTGTGACCTAGGATCTTGATTTTTAGAACAATACCATTTAGATGGCTGCTCTTTGCCCATCTAAATGATATTGGTCTAAAAAGCCTATTATCCCTAAGCAGCATAGCCAACAGCATGGAAAATGGGGAATAGTGATTCAATAACTCCTGGAGGGTCAGATTTGCCCATCTATATTATATAAGCTCACCCTCAACATCCATACCTACCACAGACTTATATGAATTTAAGGGAACATAAACCATCTGATCAGTAGTAAGGGAGATTTTTTTGTCATGTCAGGAGTGACTTGAGAAACTGCAAGTTGCTTCTGGTGTGAGAGAATTGGCCATCTGCAAGGACATTGCCCAGGGGAGACCCGGATGTTTTTTTGATGTGTTACCATCCTCGTAGGAGGCTTCTCTCATGTCCTCACATAAGTAGCTGGAACTGATAGAAGGAGCTCATCCATGCTCTCCCCGGATTCAAACTTGCGGCCTGTCAGTCTTCAGTCCTGGCAGCACAGGGATTTAACTCACTGCACTACTGGGGGCTCCAGTAAGGGAGATGCATCCACTATAATGGGGTTCACATGTTCATAACCTTTTTGTTTATTGCTGACATTTGATCTGACCTAAATCTAATTGTTAATTTCAATTAAAGCAGATCCACAACCCACAGAATCTATGAAATTATATAAATATTGAATTGCCATTCATCAAATTATTTGCTAGGCCTACTATAGTTACAATATTGTGAGCAAGTAAGGTAGGTACAGTGAGTTCTTGGTATATCCTGGGGTTTGGTTCCAGCCCTCCCCCCTCCCATGATTAACACAATTCATTGATAGCTAGGTTCTATTTTATGCAAAGGCATGGTAAAATGGTGCCCTGTATTTAAAATGGAAAAATTAAAATTTGTTTTGGAATTTAAAAAATATATACATTTTAATTTGTGGATTCAGAATCCATGGTTACAGAGGGCAAACAGTATTGCTGTTGTAATTGTTTTTTTCTCAGCACAATCCTATACATTTTCCCCCAAAAGTATGATACATTAAATTCAGGAAAGTTAATATGACATTATAATGTTAGTCACGTTCATGATTCAAAAGTTCTTTCTGGACCATCCACACCCTGCTGAATCTATTGGATTTTACAGAAAAGCCTTTTGCCCTAAAGCTTTTATTTTTAGTGAGTTGCTATTAACAATTCTTGGCATTTTCTCTAAAGAATTTTGCAATCCATAAAAACATCTTTAATAAAATGGAGGTTTTCAAAACCACAGAATGGACACCACTTTTGCAGATTATTAAGCCTTGTGAGAATTATTATTACTTTGCAGTCTGCTAGCCTCTTTATTCTAGTAAAAGCATGCATTTCACAGTCCTTCCCATCTCTTAACATTAATTAAGTGAGTCCTGTTTTAAAGCCTCTCCTGCTCTCTCTTCTAAATATAATTTTCAGTTAGAATATGTAACTCTGCAAGTGCTATTTCCAGTAATTTACTGAAACTATTCAAAAGGTTCAGCCAATATATGTTCTGGGGTGATTTCAAGAGTGATTTAGCCTTTAGATCAGAGGTGGAGAATACATTGATCTCCAGATATTGCTGGACTCAAATTTTCCTGAGGTCCAGCCAGAATGGCCGGAGAACAGATGTGATGGTGTCTAACAACATCTGAAGGTATAATGTTTCTTTATATCTATTGAAGATACTTTAATGGAAAATTAATATAACTGAATCCTGGTTGGAACTTCAGCAGATGGTATGGAGTGAAATAAGAGCAATTAAAATTAAGGGCAAATTAATACTGCATAGGAACTGGTCTGAACTGCAGTCTTCATCAACCCTAGCTCATACTGCAAAGATATTGCTTTGAATACCATGAGCAAATACTGCAGCCATGATGGTTCACTGAAATACTAAGCATTCATTGGTTGTAAAAAAAACAAACGGGCAAAATAATTGTATGCTTTATTTATTTATTTTGTGTCAAAAGCATTGCATACATAAGTATAAAACTGATAAAAATAGAACGAGCACAAGTGGTGGAATAATTTTTGACCAAAACCAGGCAACAGTGACCACATTTTCTGTAGCCTTAAACAATTCTTCCTCTGTACATGAGGCAGGGCATTGTGAGGAAGCATACAGATGTGGAGTTGTTTCTTTTGCTCCACAGTCACAGAACTTGGAGGATTCTTTTAGGTAGTTCCATTTTGCCAGGTTGTCTTTTGATCTGCCCACTCCCCTTTTGAGTCTTTTCAGGGACTTCCAAGTTACCCATTCTTGGTTTGTCCCTGGAGGCAGACCCTCCTGCTCAATTGTATGCTCAAGTGACATAAGCAGGTACAGAATTCATGGTTTTATCAATTTAAATTAATTTTCCTTTGGATGACAACCACTCATCATCCATGTCTTTTGGGATTCAGTTCCCACAAGTCCCTGTTAGCATCATCAAGGCTTAAAGAATCTGTAATATGTAGTGCAAACATATGAAGACAAAAGTTGACCACTACTGATTTGGATTGAAGAAACGTTCAGCCTGAGAGCCACAAATGGTCTTCAGCCTTATTTTATATACATCTAGGCATCTCACAATTCTCCAAATGATCTGAGGCCATTCATTCTTTCCTAAAAACACTTCTTGGGATTGCTTTCTTCTGTTTTGTGGATGAGCACAGAGGGATATAAGAGAGGCACAGAACGGATGTATAGCACATGGAGAGCTATGCTGCTGTGCAGAAAATTCAGACTGCTTTTGCTTTTGCCCACATACCACACACTGAATAATCTGCTCTATCATCAACTGATAGATGATACCCTGTGGTCAGTAGCCCTTTCATAAGGAAAGAAGTTATCAACCAATGCTTTAGAAAAGATCTTTATTAATTACTTAGATGAAGGGTTAGAAGGCAGGATCATCAAGTTTGCAGACGACACCAAATTGGGAGGGATAGCCAATACTCCAGAAGACAGGAGCAGGATTCAAAACGATCTTGACAGATTAGAGAGATGGGCCAAAACTAACAAAATGAAGTTCAACAGTGACAAATGCAAGATACTCCACTTTGGCAGGAAAAACGAAATGCAAAGATACAGAATGGGGGATGCCTGACTCGAGAGCAGTACGTGTGAAAAAGATCTTGGAGTCCTCGTGGACAACAAGTTAAACATGAGCCAACAATGTGATGTGGCGGCAAAAAAAGCCAATGGGATTTTGGCCTGCATCAATAGGAGCATAGTGTCTAGATCTAGGGAAGTCATGCCACCCCTAATATTAGTTTGGTTAGACCACACCTGGAATATTGTGTCCAATTCTGGGCACCACAATTCAAGAGAGATATTGACAAGCTGGAATGTGTCCAGAGAGAGCGACTAAAATGATAAAAGGTCTGGAGAACAAGCCCTATGAGGAGCAGCTTAAGGAGCTGGGCATGTTTAGCCTGAAGAAGAGAAGGCTGAGAGGGGATATGATAGCCATGTATAAATATGTGAGAGGAAGCCACAGGGAGGAGGAAGCAAGCTTGTTTTCTGCTTCCCTGGA